GGTTGAACTTATGATTACACAGTAAACTCTAAAACTATAACTTTTATTACCCAATGAACAAGAAAAATGAAGTACAAGATAACTGAACTAGCTTCTGACAACATTCCACGATGTTGGGATACAGGGGTAGGTCAGGATTTCACGTCTTTGGACTGTCTTGAGTTAATATGGGTCGATCACGCTGATCAGCTGAAGTTCTCACATGTATATACTATTTTCCTTTTGGTGTACTTGATCACGATATGAAGATTATTTCATTTTATTTGGTTCACCTATATTTACGCTACTATTCCCCGTCGTTCTTTCCCTCCAGAATGGCCGCTGGACGAGTGTTACGGAGCAAATATGACGTCACTGTAATGGGTTAATATAATCATGACATATCGAAACGGTTTTAATTTTAGAAGTACTGTGCAGGGGTCGTGGTCGCAATTTTTTTAATTAATCTGCGACAAAGTGTATATTAATCATTAACCCATTCTCTCGCTGCTTAAAAAAGATAAAAAAGTTGAGATTTTGCGAATAGACCCTTTTGTATAGGACTGTTTCAAACCCACTGGTTAGTTGTTTACTCCAACTTTATATAAAACTTTCATACGACTTTATCTGTAGCATTTTACATTTTTCTGGATTTAAGTTTTCGTGGTTTTCTATGATAATTTCACTGTTCAGTGCTGCTGTTACAGTTGAAAAAATTATTGTTAGCATTGTACACTCTGTGAATCATAATGCAGTATCAGAATAACGTTTTAATCATTCTTTTAAAATTAGCAATTTGCAGTCAGGTAACCTCTGTGACTGAAGGTGGTTGATGGGAATTCAGATAACAAGGCTATAATTTGCTGATAAGAGGGGAAACAGAATTTCCTTAGTCATTTATTCGAGTGTACGAGGTGTTGACTTCGGGAACGCTTTGAAATAGGTGTCGCATGATGCTTCTTTGTATTTTAAGACCTCAATACCTTAAATGTAAAGTGGGGAGGTATATTTATAATGGCACATATCAAACAATCGCACCACTGTGTGAAACTGGGTGTCATGAATTATCATAAATCTTCTACTACACGCATACATATCGTCTGTTGATTAATTAACACTCATCCAGATGTGGGAAATGAAAAGGTTGACCCCGGCATGAAAATCAGTGTAAAGTCAACAATGCACCGTCCTTAAATCTGTATATCTGCCTCTATGCACATCCCAGTGGAATTACAGAAGAAAGTCTATATATAATACATATAAAAACAAGCACTGGACAAAGAAAATCGATACATATCAGTTTTAGTTTCATGCTACTAGTAGGTCTGGTCAAGGAGTTATATACTAGTACTACCGGTAGCACAACTCTTTGGTCTGGTGCACCATCATGCTTCATTTTGTAAGAGAACCATCTCATAAAATGAACACAAGGGATGAATTAAATTTGTCAAGCTTTCATTTCCCACATCTTATAAACCAGGGACTAGTTTGGGCAATTTGGCGACAACCAAAGGTGTTAAAGTCTTCTCTGGTGGGACGCAGTGCACTGTCTTAACTTAAAAAATTCTCACCACACAATGAAGGACAGCAAGGACCACATACTAAACTTCCTCTGAAAACACAGGCATATCAAACCTCTATATTTCTACCTCTCTATACTTCTAAAGTACTATACGGAACACTCACCTGTTGTCGTTAACGATAATTGGGTCACCAGTATAACAACTACGTGTAATAGAAGCACACACTTTTTACAAAGATCCTGATTCAAAATGCGTTGGTCCGCCATTACTGGTATTTGCCGCTTATATTATCCGAAAACATCACCGATTTAGGGAAAAGTCCCTTTAAGGTAACAACAACCTCGAGTACAATGTAAGACTGGCCCCGAATCAAAACAATAGACACAGGTAACAAGCAGGTGAGAAATATCAAATATAGGTCACGACTCAATTTACATGACAAACACACGCAGCAGTTGAGTGAGTCTGCGGCGCGACGACAAAACGAACATTTGAAAAATTTTACACCCTTTTTATTTTTATTTATAAATTTACCACTGCAAGGTAGTATTTAAAGTATACATGTTGCGCCCATCAATCACATCTGGTGATCAATCGCAAAAGTCCAGGAAGAAGAATAGAAACAAAATCTTAAGGTAACAAGTATGTGGGTCAATTGGGCCAGGGTATACCTTTGTCACAATAAAAAAACAATATTCCACCAGGTACTTAACGCAGGTAAATCCTCATAACACCTAGTGCCGAGACTTTACTGTATATGTCCATATCATTGGGAAAACTGTGCGTGTCCTTCCTTGCATCTTGCAGTATGTCGTTAAAGGCATTCCGCCCGCGTTTGGTTTTCCCAACATGTAATGTTTTATTATTTCTGTTGGGTTTTTCATTAAATTCACTGTTATTTCTTTCGTCTTCTTAAGATTAAGTTCAAAGTGGTTTTCCAAGCACCATGAAACTTGATTCTGTTAATCAGACCCAGAAGTACTTCAGGGTAGCGCAGGTAGCACAATGTATCCTCTACCAGGGCCGCAGCTATCATTGTGGACATTTCTGGCTGAAGCGTCAGTTACAACTTGAGCATCAAAGTTAGGGTTGTACTGTGCATCTGCGGAAGGAGCCAGTAGTTCTTCGTCATCGGGAACTTTAAATTTAATACCATGGACATAAGTAAAATTCAGAATTGTGGCTCATTTTTTGATGTAATAAATTTTTCGTTTCCACATACATTTTAGTCAATTTGGCCGATATATTGGTATCAACTACACCACGCGGTCGTAGGTTATTTGGTCTTTGTACCAAAATTGGGCAATGGACGGCTTAAAATTTGTAAAGATTATCAATTAATTTTAGCCCAAGTTCGTTTCAGTTAGAATTGGTGAATTATTTTATAATTTTTGTAAAACCACTTTTCCCAAAACTCAAATGTATCTGTCGGAGATACATTTTACACAGAATAAAAAAGGCTTTGCATTTGGAATTACATTTTCCCCATATGAAACATTAAGATATGGTACACTGGACATGGTATCAATAGTCAGATATAACAAATGTCATCATATACGTACATCTCTCCTTTAATATATGAAAGAAAAAGCAGTTGTAAAAATCAAGATATAAATAAATTGACCCATTTATTCACAACTGACAAAAGAAGATACATAAATGTCATAAATTTAAACTAAGGGAAATTTAGAATTCTAGTTTCTTCTGTTTAAATTAACTACATAGGACACATCTGTTACAAAATACAATGGAACAGAGATCACGTCATAGACGGCACTTAATAAATTCTTTTTTATAGATAGGAGACCCATTTAACATCATGGAAACAATTATACAAAGTTCAAGATGGTGCAAATCAAAGTATTTTCATTTGTGTCCCGTTTTCTTGTTATGTACCCCTCTCCGGGTAGGCCTATATAATGTACACGCCCTCTTCCCTACTGCCCATTCAATTGAAACAATCGATCGGGTGTTCTTGCTGTCTACTTCTTGTCATTCTGTTTATCTAAAATAGACAATTACAAAACAAGCACATTTACCCTAAGTCAAAAGTACCAGAAAGGTCCTTTTCAATCATTTATGCAGTTTCAAAAAAAGTAAGTCGAAAAATAAAAATATTTGAATGTTTTTAGGAACAATTAAAAAAATTTCATGATTTAGTTCTTTTCGCTTCGATTTCTATCCACTGAACTTA